GGAAAATTTCTAATTCTGTTTTCTCTCTGTGTCTGTGTATTGTTTTTCAAGAGATGTTTTCTTCTTCTACTCTCGTTTATTCTCTTACGCTTTTCCTCTCTCTTTCTCTTCTCTTCTTCCTCTTCTTCCTCTCTCCACACATCCTTCTCTCTTCCTCTCGCCACCAAAATCTCCTTTCAACCGCCGATGAACTCGACGACCTCTCTCTCTTCCACCGCGCCGCCGTCTCATCCTCCAACAACCGTCGTCTAATCTCTCTCTCACCGATTCCTCGACCTAAGATCGCGTTTCTCTTCCTAACAAACTCAGATCTCACTTTCTTGCCTCTTTGGGAAACCTTCTTCCAAGGTCACGAAGATCTCTACAACGTTTACATCCACGCAGATCCATCTTCCGGTGTATCTCCGTTACTCGATTCGTCGTCATCGATCAAAGCTAAATTCATCCCGGCGAAGAAAACCGCACGAGCTTCTCCGACGTTAATCGCAGCGGAACGTCGATTGTTAGCTCGTGCGATTATCGACGATCCTAACAATCTCTATTTCGCTCTCGTCTCTCAACACTGTATCCCTCTCCATTCTTTCCCTTACATTTACAATCACCTCTTCTCAGATCGATCCTCTTCTTCTTCTAACCCTAGCAGCTTCATCGAGATCCTCTCCGATGAGCCTTTCCTCCCGAAACGATACAACGCGAGAGGAGACGACGCGATGTTACCGGAGATTCGGTACGAAGATTTCCGTGTTGGATCTCAGTTCTTCGTTCTTGCGAAACGTCATGCTTTGGTTGTGATCAAAGAGAGGAAACTATGGAGGAAATTCAGATTACCGTGCGTTGATACAGAGTCTTGTTACCCTGAAGAACACTATTTCCCGACTTTGTTGTCTCTTGAGGATCCTAAAGGTTGTAGCCACTTCACGCTCACTCGTGTTGATTGGACCGGAAGCGTCGGTGGTCATCCTCACACGTACGGTGCTTCCGAGGTTTCGCCTCAGCTGATTCACTCGTTGAGGAGATCTAATTCAAGTTTAGATTACTTCTTCGCGAGAAAATTCTCGCCGGATTCATTGCAACCATTGATGGAGATAGCTGATGCTGTGATCTTAAGGGATTGAGAAATCAGTGAACAAAGTAAATTTAGGTGAATTGAATTGAAAACCATCCCTGAAAATCTTGATTGGAAAATTTGCAAGAAAATTGTGGCTAATCATCTTCTTTCTTGTGTTGTTTTTAGGTTTCAGGTTACAGGAAGGTTTTTTAGAAGAAGTTTGTGTTGGCGCTCGAAGAAGAGTGTGTGACAAATAAGATGAAACTCTCTGTGTGTGTTTCGTTTTCAATCATCCAAAAAGGGTGTGTTTTTTTTTTACATGGGTGTAAACAAAATTGTAAATAGTCAAGTGAGAGCAAAAACTATCAAAGTTGGCCAAATCGGCTTTTGCTTTGTGTATTTCATGTCTTTCTACGGGAGAGAGAGAGAATGGTAAAAAAAAGGCCTTCCCTCTCTTTGTTTCTTAAAAGTGTGAATGAAGAAATCTTTGTTATTCAAGTGTTCTTTTACTTGCGAAGTACCAAACTGGAAATTTGAGCAAGTTATGGTTTGATTGAGCTTGGGTGGTGACACTGACTGGTTCTTGTAGTGTAATGTCAATGGGTGGAGTCTCTAACGCGTACGTTTCATAAGAATAATAAAACACCAACTTGCCCCTAACAAATCTCCAAATTATATTTTGAAACAATCTTTTACCTCTTCATGTAACAGACAGAAAAGACTTCTGTTTTTGGCAAAAATGAACAGAGTTTCAGACAGCTATTTTGATAGGTTCGTGGGAGGTTTGAAGTTATCAATGTAATGGAAGCTTCCAACAATCCCTTCTAAGCTTCCAAACCAGCATCAATTTCATTCACGCTAATTTCAATATAGCATGATTTTACAATAGGATTGTTCAAGTGTCTCTACCTTTAATGTCTTTTTTTAAAGAGAACCTCTAAACTTGAGCTTACTCTGTTCTAACTTCTATGTACCC